TGCTGGTGATATTTTTCTTTTTCAAAAATGTATTGCAGTTAATATATTGCTGGTAATAATTTTTTTTTCTTAAAAAATATATTGCTGGTGTCAAAACCTATTTTTTATACTTTCATAGTGTTTTGTACCCATTTTGGGGGTTAACTATTTGCCCATAACCGGAACCCTAACAGGTGCTACCACTAGGGATTAGTGTAGATCTGGAAACACCAGCAAATAAGTAGTGGTTCCATGCTCCTTAAAACTTCCCAATAAGTGGCCTTACTGCCGGATGTAGTTTATTGTGATATCCAGGACGCCTCACTGGTTGGTGGTCTTGCCCCTCTGCAGAGGTGTAGTCAATTTTATTCTGAAGCCCTAGCCGACAGGACATGATAAACGATGGAGCAATTTCTGCATGGAATGACCCAACATGGGTTGAAATGTCGTTAAATCCACTAACTTAATTTCTTTTCGAAAGCGACCATAGTTCTTCACAATTTCATATTATTTGTAACTCTAAGCAATGTTTGGCTAGTTACTATACCCCAGTCTATGTTACGCCATCTATTTACCCAAGTTCGTTAGGTAGTATACACGATCTTTCCCTCTGCCCTCACTTATCTTTAGTATATCTTGTGAGTGTTAAACTCTCCAAATGTTCTTTTCTCGTTATGCGACCTAGAAATTTCAAGCGCCTTTTAAGTTACAACTAAGTCGTTAGGCTAGGTTAACCTTACCTAATAATGTAGAAAGGGTTTACACCAAATGATTAATTTTCAGATTATTTTCCCATTGTCAATGCACTTGATTTATTTATTAACTTAATTGGTCGAACATTATATAGTGAGAATTTCTGATAAAAAATTTCTTTAAATCACTGTGTCACGATACGGAATTATTAATCCCTTACCAGTTATTGAACACGGAGTTTGTTTTATGGTTGAATGTGATTTTCAGGCCATCTTTCATTCGAGTTTGAAACAAACTGTCACCACTCCATATTTACCTCATACTGATATTGAGCACTTTTTTCCCCACCGTAAAACTATATTTGTTATTGCTATGAACGTCATGAGGTGTTGGTACATGTGTTTGAGACATCACTGTTTTTGGAAACAGTAAAATTAATGTCTAGTGGCCTAAATCTCTAAAGTCTTACTAAAGAAAAACCGGAGATGTCTATTAAAAACATATGTATGTATATATATATATATATATATATATATATATATATATATATATATATATATATATATATATATATATATATATATATATATATATATATATATATATATATATATATATATATATTTCTGACCATAGCTCAATTAGATCTCATTTAAGTATTCATGGAGACCTACCGGACACTATTCGTAACATACTTGCTGACAACACTAATATAATAGCATCATCTACATGCAAAAAAAGGCTAAAAATAAGGGAAGCCTTATTAATAAAAACAAAAAAACAACACTTAATAATATTAGCTTTGAACATGGACATAATATCTTGACCGTGTTTTGAAAAATTAAAACATTTTATAAAACATACATATATACGAAAAACTATTTCTTATTTAACAGTTAAAATATTTAATCCTTGAAAATGGCTAAATGTGTAGCCGAAAGCGCTCGGATAAAAAGAAAATTCGGACAGTTTTTATATAATTTATCATCCGAAAAGAAAAAAAATTATTAGATTGCATGAGAAATTGTATAAAAAAAAGCTTAACAAAAGCACCTTGTTTGTCGTATTCAATGAAATGTACATAAAAATAGATACAAAAGTATGAAGACGATTAAAATTTTAGCTACCTTTCGGCCGACACACCTTCAGAAAAGATAATATAAAATTTTTTTCAACAAATGGTTTTAAAAATATACCAAAACTAGGGGAGGGAACAAAGCGAATTAATATTTACCTAGTTAGGCATTAAATTGGTGACCTGCTCGCCGGACAAGGCCCAAATTTGTTGTGTTGATCTGAAGATTAAATTTTTACGTCTGAAGTGAAAAACGCAACGGTGATGTACTGTACAATTTTTAAATTTTATCATGGAGACACACGTACAAACACCAAGGGAGGTAACTTGGAATGTCTAAATATTTCTTAAATTAAGAAAAAACTATTTCACATTATTAGTTAAAAGCTTGATATATGGTGAACGCAACAATTTTGTCTTGGAAAAAAAAAAACAAAGTCCTGATGACGACATTTTGCTAATGTCGAAAGTACTCAGAATAAATTGAATATATATCAACATGGTAATGTTTTTCTTCCTTTAATAAGGATACTAGGAAACCTGTCTCTAATTACAAGACTGTCTTATTAATAAGTAGACAAAATTTGTCTAAATTATTTAATGAGACATGTCTTAATGAAAAACACACACACACACACACACATATATATATATATATATATATATATATATATATATATATATATATAGTATGATAAATTGGGAAAATGTCTTTTGAGACGTGTTTCATGAGTTAGGTTTTTTATCGGATGAAACACGTCATTAAATTTATCGTTATATGTATATATATATATATATATATATATATATATATATATATATATATATATATATATGTATGTATGTATGTATATATATATATATATATATATATACTGTTGTATATTTAGGCAGCAATCCTTCCTTTATGCATGTTTCATTAAAAACGACAGACAAGGTGCTACGGTTAAGCTTTTTATTTAATTTTTATTGTGTTCTGACAAGAGCTTTCTTTTCTGGACAAAGGGTGTGCAAGAACTGTCCAAATGTTTTATATTTCCGAGCGCTTTCGGCTATACCTTTATCAAGGATGATTCGAGTTTCAGCTTAACTGAGTGTGTGCGTTCTGAATACGGTTAGGGACATTGTACAGGCTTTGTTCGTGGTTAATAACACACACTCAGATTTACCCGACACCATTAGGAACATACTAGTAGAAAACACAAATATATTAACTGCATCCACCTGCAAAAAAGACTAAAAATAATGGAAGCTCTAATAATAAAAAAGAAAGAGCCAACTCTTAACTATATTAACTACTAGACACTAAGACATACACAGAACGCACACACTCAGTTAAGCTGAAACATCGAATCATCCTTGATAATGGCTAAAGGTATAGCCGAAAGCGCTCGGAAATATAAAACATTTGGACAGTTCTTACACACTCTTTGTCCAGAAAAGAAAGCTCTTGTTTGAACACAAGAAAAATTAAATAAAAAGCTTAACCGTAGTACCTTGGCTGTCGTTTTTAATGAAACATGCATATATATATATGTATATATATGTATGTATTACTTTTCAGGTTGTATAGCATTTATATACTGTTCATAACAGGTGTATTTATACACATATGTACAGATTTACCTGTCTTATCTGAGGGTTTCGGGCCACCCGTGGCCAGGGGACAGAAAACTTGGTCCCTGGAGATTAGAACTTAAATGCGGAATTTCCTTATTTCAATAAAAATATTTGCGAAAGAAAATTCTGTCCCTTTCCTAAGCACATAGCAAACTTGACTCCCATGTGTGTGTCTTGATACTTGATGCCCATACGCTCCTAAGTACTGCTGTTTTATCCGTCATGTACCATGTGTCAGCTGCCGGTACGTCTATACCTGGAACGGCTGAGTTGTCATTTTCAAACACATACCGCTGAGCAGTAACTTACCCAAAGTGGCGCACATATATGCCTTTCAGATGTAAGACGGAGTGACGAAAACTTCTTGACCTGATCCGATTCTCAAAAATGATCATCATTATTTAGCATCAGAATTTGATTTAAATGCCATCATTGATCGAGACTTAAACTTTTCAACACTGTCCTCATATATATGTATATAAATATGTATGTATTACTTTTCAGATTGTATAGCATTTATATACTGTTCATAACAGGTGTATTTAAACATATATCTACAGATTTACCTGTCTTATCTGAGGGTTTCGGGCCATATATATATATATATATATATATATATATATATATATATATATATATATATATATATATATATATATATATAATAAGGCTACTCTATTATACGATAAAATAAATGCTCAAAATTAGAGCGAATATTTAGTAAAAACCGTTTTTAGTCTTTAGGGATGCAGGTTTTAACTCTGTCGAAGAACACTTTTTCTTCATGAAAACTCTTGTCTTGATAAGTCGGTAGATGCAAATCATACTATTTAAAAGAATGAAACAAGTCGTCTACTCAAATACGTGCATCCAATAATATATATCGCTCAAATTAATATATCTATTTATCTATCTCTATCATCACTCTCGCTCTCTCTCTATATATATCGATATATAAACACACACACACACATATATATATATATATATATATATATATATATATATATATATATATATATATATATATATATATATATATATATATATATATATATATTAGGTAATATTTTGTTTTACATCTAAATACCCTCTGCTGATTAAATCTAATGAGCGATTTGTAGTATTAATCTGACAGTCATCATGTAATATAGAATTTATATCTATAAAGACTGTCTCTGATATCGAACACACTTTCCTATAAACATTGTACATTTTAAATAGTATATATATATATATATATATATATATATATATATATATATATATATATAAAGAGAGAGAGAGGACTGGATATTTAATTTCAGATATATTTATATGGAAATATGCAGATAAAATTTGGTTAGGGTAGCAAAGATATATATATATATATATATATATATATATATATATATATATATATATATATATATATATATATATATATATAGGTGGGAGGTGTATAAAGAGATAGGAGGAGAGTTCCCAGAAATTTAAATATTTTCCAGGTGGGTGTTCAAGCAGAGGCGAAAGAGCTTGAATATTTAATTCTGATTTTCCAGGCAGGCAAGCCCTGCCCATTCGGAAGATTGATATTGTATAAGACTCCTTCCCTCCATTTGCCCAGTCACATTTGGTCTTATGCTGTATGATGCTAGGCTTCAGAAAAAGAAAGAAAGAAAGAAACAAACAAACAAAATAACGCAGAAATAAAGAAAGAAAGAAAGAAAGAAAGAAAGAAAGAAAGAAAGAAAGAAAGAAAAGAAAGAAAGAAAGGAAGAAAGAAAGAAAGAATATCGAAAGAAAGCGCGGATACCCGCAAGCGCCGAGCATCAAGGGACCAGCGAAATGTGCGCACTCACTCCCTCCCTTATTTGGAATAGTTCACTCTTACTATCTCTTTCTCTCTCCCTCTCTTATGCACACACATATATTTCTCAGCTTTTGGACACACTCTCACACACGCACACACATACACGCACACATCTACTTATTCATACTGCTTATTGTCTGTATCTTCAGTCAGCACACAGATACGAACGCCTATAGATAGATATTTGAAATAACCTGTCAGAATTTACTTTCCATAGATATTTATTTACCTTAGTTCGGTCCGGGTGTGGGTGAGATATGAACAAATGTGAGTGGGGGTAACGTGAGGAAGAATGTATTGCGCCATTATATCAATTTGTAGAATGTTCAGACGAACTATATTCCTTAGTTCCATCAGTTTTAACCTTCACGGCCAGGATCCGCCATGGCACCCACACTGTAGCGAACTCCCTCATTTCCTTTGTTGTCAGTTGGTTAGTTGTAAATTCCCACAAAACCTCTACTCTATGCATCAAACTTCCAAGAGGAAACTTCGTTCAAGTCTAGGGATAACCGTTTTCTCCCAATATCCCCATAAGCTGTGACTTGCTTCTTACTCTGTAACACTCTCCCTTAAGTGGCTCTTGGGCCTTGCACAGGGTGAATAATATTATTAGAAATAGTTAAAAACGCCTATTTGATTTAAAAATTAGCATTCCTAAACCAAGCTTCAACTGAAATTCGAACCTGCGTATGAATTCTGACATTGGCGGGAATCGCGTAACTAGCATAGCCACCAAGCAAACTTTACTGTTCACACATATATATATATGTATGTGTGTGTGTGTGTGTGTGTGTGTGTGTGTCAGCGCACATTAATTCAATAAAAACAAATATATTTTTATTTAACGGACACAATATTTTACTGTTACGACTAATCTGAAATGTACAATTATACACACACACATACATTCGCCTATACATCTCTATGAGATTTAATATACACACGTGTGCTTACACCAGCAAACAGGTATTTCAAACCATGCACACACAGACACATAACTACACAAGAACGAAAACATAGAAATAAACAAGCGTCATCTATATACACGCCAAGATGTAAGCCTTTCTAAGGACTCTTGTCATCAGCCGTAGCGTAATTGTTAGAAAGATAGCTTCTCTCATACTTACCAATGAGGGCACTATAATTTTGTGTCAGACTAGAAAATATCTGTAGGTTATGCGAGAGCACACATACACACACATTGCATAATAGTGGAGATTCCTTAATATATATATATATATATATATATATATATTTAAATAACAACGACAATCTGTATCTATACATACGAAAAATACGAATACGCATAAAAATCCACATACGTACACAGTGTGTTTGAAATGTAAACATACACATATATACGTACAGATTTTAATATTTTTAACGCGCTATCATCACCGTTGTAACGAGACCCACGAAAACGCCTAGCCACAAAACACGTAATGTCATCAACGTACGTATATATAAAACAGTACATCATGGAGGCGCCTGCTATAGGAAATTATTATAGTGAACTTGATTCTAAGGGGTACCCGGTTTCGGTGACCTTCTACTATTCGAAACAAAATTTAGTATCCATAATTTCTGCTGTAGAAATTAAACTCATCAAAAAGAGAATTACAAATGTAGCGATTTAGTCACTCCCCTTGGCCTTGTGTCAAATGAGGCTAACTTCAGTAAATGCGTGCAAGCTGGTAATATCATTCTTAAAATCTAATCTGGCAGACTATTGCTACTAAAGCTAGTACGACCATCACCGTATACTCCATACATCTGACCTTGTGCCAGACTAAATTAGGTTTACTAAATATCTGTAGTTCAATTCAGTGACACTGAAAACAAGTTCCTCTACCTACGCAGGATCTCCTTCTGCCTTATTCTTTGTTTCTCTCTCTCTCTCTCTCTCTCTCTCTCTCTCTCTATCTATCTATCTATTTATCTATCTATCTATCTATCTCTCTCACTCTTTCTCTCTCCCTCTATCTCTCTCTCTCTCTCTATATATATATATATATATATATATATATATATATATATAGTTTAAATTCTCTTCTCTTTTAGGTCTCAGCCTCCTTGGCCCTGTGCCAAACAGAGATAATATTCTTAAATATCTAAAGCGAGAGTTTTAAAATTAATGTTAACCCTCACTGGATGCTCAAATATTGTTTCCTTTTTCCTCATTAAACTAAGACTGTTAGATACTTACATCGTTGCCTTGCGCCAGACTTAGCCAGTCTGACTAAATAGCTACAGATTCTGTCACTATTGAATAATTAGGTAAATGTTATTAGATAACGTACACGTTTGAATAGAAATCTATCAGTCAGCTTTCCATCCCTGTGTCAGACTTAGCATCGATATATATATATATATATATATATATATATATATATATATCAAAATGAGAGAAAGTACAGATGGGGTAAAATTTCACTGTTCGTAGCATTTTTTTTTTTTAAATGTGCTCTCTCTTTATATATATATATATATATATATATATATATATATATATATATATATATATATATATATATATATATATATAAACTATGTTTCGAAAATCAACTTTAAAAACGTTTAAAATTTTGACAAACCCTATTACACTGTTTCCATTTGTACCGGCATATGATGTTCGAACTTATCATGAAACTGACGGTAATGCCTAAGAGCTTGTTAAGACTGGGATCTTAAACGTTTTTAATGGTGATTTATGGAGAACGATAATCAGCCATGACTTGAAAAGACACGTTACATAGGTCGATATCGGGCATTGAATTGTTTCAGTCTTTGATATTGACAAAATGTGATATTGTAAGGCTTTGAATTTCCCTATGTCATGTCAGTGTGAAGATATACAGATCACGTATATCATAGATTTACAAGGGTTTAAACACTAAATAATAAGAGTATCTTAAATGAACATGATCAAAATAGTTACGGATACAGATCTTTTTTTTTTTTTTAAATTTGATCAAACGGAAAGGATTGATCTCGCGAGAGATATTTCTGCACGCTTACCTATCAACCAACGTACTAAAATGAAAACGGGATTTATAAATACACATATAAAAATGGATATGATAATTAGATATACACATTCACACACATACACAGTGCTTCCTGATCACGCTGATATACTTTCAGCACACACACACACATATATATATATATATATATATATATATATATATATATATATATAGTGTGAGGCTCCGTATGTGATATGGTTATACACGCTGAATTTTCCAAGCTATCATTTTTTTTGCCTTAATGTAGATAACGTTCTGGTAAAATGGCGTCTGACTTGAAAGTTTGTACGAAGGAGAGATGTACCTCTGAATTACTCCATACGAAAAAATTGCCCAATTAATATTCATCAAAACTTTGATGAACGTTTCTCGTGACCGAATAGTGGATGTGAACTCAGCAGCAGCGATAACGATTTATTTAGATTAGGCTGGCACAAGGCTACAAGTACAAATCACATAACAAAAGATCGATCTCACCAGTCAGTAGTGATAAGCTTTTATCTCTCTCTATATATATATATAGATAGATAGATATAGGAAAGGTGCTGAAAGATCCTCAGATTTCTATGAAAAATTCCCGGTCCCTGTTTTACCATCAGATTCTTATATATATATATATATATATATATATATATATATATATATATATATATATATATATATATATATATATTTATACATTCTTTTTATAGATACAAATATTTAAGTAAATGCTCTGTTTATAATAAACAGTATTAAACAACATTTGCCGGCCTGAATGTCCGAGAAATTTTCACAGAAAATATTCGTCCTCCGACGGGATTCGAACCTGTATCCTATATTCGTCCTCTGACGGGACTCGAACCTGTACCCTATATGTATAGGATACATGTTCGAATCCTGTCGGATGACGAATATTTTCTGTGAAAATTTCTCGGACATTCAGGCCGGTAAATGTTGTTTAATACTGTTTATTATAAACAAACAGCATTTAAAATATTTGTATCTATAAAAATAATGTATAAAACATAAAATGTCTTAAAGTAATTTTTGATTTTTCCATTTCATATATATATATATATATATATATATATATATATATATATATATATATAAATATATATATATATATATATAGCAAACAGAGATATCAGAACATTGACCTGAAATTTCAGTGAATAAAGATAGATTTGTGTGAATATTATTAATGGCAAAATTAAGTGCCTTGACATAAAAGCGTAATTATACTGAATGTCTGCGTGTGTATTTCTTTATAGATAAATCATTAATTGAGATTTGTATGCGTGGGAGAATTACCTCTCTATCTGTCTATCAGTTCATAAAGAGAGAATGATGGTCATAGATAGATACATCGCTGAATCGAAAGAAAATGAATATTACAACCGCAAATACATACATATGTATATGTGTGTGTGTGTGTTTTGTACTAGTCGTGGTTAAAAAAAAAAAAATTCTTAGACCGACCGACAAGTCACACCACCACAAAAATGTAATGTTTGGCTATTTGTGTGTGTGTGTGCGTGCGTGTGTGTGTGTTGAGACGAGAATATTTCAGCACCCTTTCGTGAAGACGAACATGACAACCCAGACGCTATGACAATACGTCTTCAAATATCGATTAATTTATTTCTTTACGAGTACAATCACTCAGCAGTTTCATACCGAAAAGGACATCCGCAAAGTACACAGTGTTATGTCTTTGTTTTCTTACTTCTTTATCGGATTTTCGCAAATCTTTCGTACGCGGACACACACACACATCACACACATATGCAAACACGTGCCTTTTCTTACAACAGTTCTCGCTCTCTCTCAATATATATATATATATATATATATATATATATATATATATATATATATTTATATATATATATATATGTATATATACACGCATATACACACAGAGACCAAAATTATACACACACACACACACACATATGATTTTTACCTTGATCTCTCTCTCTCTCTCTCTCTCTCTCTCTCTCTCTCTCTCTCTCTCTGAACGGATAGATAGATAGATAGATAGATAGATAGATAGATATATCTTTCACATATATATACGTCTAAATGAATGCTTTATATATAAAGAAACACACACATTCAATACAATATCCCCTTTTGTCAAAGCACTTAATTCTGTCATGAATATTATTCACATAGAACTATCATCATTCAGTGAAATTTCAGATCAAAATTCTGATGATATCTATCTGAAAATTTAATAACCTGATTGCGAAAAAATTTCTTTTCTTTTGTCATTTCGTCAAATTATTAGAAAACTGTGAAATTTCACACAAGACTGAGAATTTTTCAGCGACCCTGAATATATCGATGCGCACGCGCGTGTGTGTGTGTACATTCGTGCGCATTCGTGTGCGTGCGTGTGCGTGCGTGTGTGTGTGTGTTTGCACGCGCACGTGCGCATGCACTGATGGCGTAAAAGTAAGTTGCTCAGTTTCCGTGGACAGAGGCAATTTACGTTTGCTTCGAACAAATAACAAATAACTGGAAAAGCTATGAAGGCAATCAATAATGTCTCGTCACTGGCCTGTCACGATATTTAAAGGAGAAGGGAGGGCGTACTGACCTGAAAATAAATGAAGGCAGATAGATAGATAGGTACTACCAATCCTAGATAGATAGATAGATAGATAGATAGATAGATAGATAGATAGATAGATAGATAGATAGATAATTGGATGTCAACCAGACCGTTATCAGTGTTCACACTTCTACTCTGTGCGATTTATTATATATTATACCATTTGATATATTTCACTCTTGAAAAACTCTATAAATTTATATTTTCTTACTTTCTCTCTGTCATTGTCTCACTCTGTCCTTCTCAATCTATCTTTCTACATAATATAAATATGTTACACTATATATATTATAAACACACACACACATATACATATATATATATATATATATATATATATATATATATATATATATATATATATATATATATATATATATATGTATGTTTGTGTGTGTGCGTGCTTGTGAGTGCTCGGCAGGTACAAACACACATACACACATTTTCATGCTTGAATCGACCGTTTCATGTTTCAACGCTATCTTCAAGCCATGCACACGACACACATGGCCTGAAGATTGCGTTCAAGCATGAGTCAGACTGTCACTACTTTGCGGTGGCCTGATTGTCCTCATTTAGATTTGCATACGCTCTATCTCTGATATTGAACAGATTTTCCCATGAATATATAGCATACGTTAATACCTATATATATATATATGTATAATACCTATATATATATAATACCTATATATATATATATATATATATATATATATATATATATATATATATATATATATATATATATATATATAACAGATATATGTATGTATATATAAGCTCTATGATGTATATGTTTCTCTTTCTTTTGATCTTCATCCTTACCTGTTATATTATTCATATTATATTATATTATATATATTATATTACCTATATTGTGTTATATAGGTGTGTATGTGTGGCTCTATATGCTAAAATCTGTAAATTTCTATAACTTTGCCTGTATACACACGCACATATATATATATATATTTGTATATATACCTGTAAAACACAAAGAGACAGAGACAGACAGACACACACACATACACACTGCGGCTAAATATTGTTATTTAATTTTTCTTTTATTCTTCTAATTTTCTTTTTTTTATGGACATAAATAAGGTAGGAGTTGTGAAAATATTGTGAATGTCTGGCTATACTTTTAACATTTATCAGGGAGCATTTTATTTTACCTTTTAACTGAATAATGTATGGATTAACTTATGCATGTATCTAGAGTTAAAGTGTTATTTTCCAAATTCAGTCAGCACATTGTGTCCGTGTTCACAGTTAATATTATTAAGTTTTCTCTCATGCACACACAGACACACACACACACACACACACACACACATATATATATATATATATATATATATATATATATATATATATATATATATATATATATAAAAGGCTCAAACACTAATTTTCCATTGTTATAATTTATTACATTTGAATCGTCATCACGATCCAATTCATCAGACCTACAAATACATATATATATATATATATATATATATATATATATATATATATATATATATATATATATATATATATATATAGTACAGGTAATAAACCCGTTGGTATATAAAGCAAGTGGTTCCTAGTAATAGAAAATATGAAAACTGATCCACAAAAAGAGATCGATGAATTAAAACAGAACAAATAAATAGTATTACACAACAAAATCCCAAATTACCTCATATGGGGGTGGATACATCATATGGAAGGTATAGATCTGTTTCAACCAACGAAAGCTACGTCATACTTATTCAACCCAGGTGAATAACCTGAGTTCGCCTCGCAATTAGAAAATTCGGTTGAAATAGATCTATCCCCCATATGAGGTAATCTTGGATTTTGTTGTGTAATATATATATATATATATATATATATATATATATATATATATATATATATGAATATGCACAAATGTACATTATATACATACATATATATATATATATATATATATATATATATATATATATATATATATAAGGCATGGTTACGTTCGCACACAATCCGGTGTCTTTAAGAATAATCAAAGCCTCTATCTACGCCTGCCAACAGATGCACTCTCTCATACAGATTAACTGAATTCATTTTATTCCTTTATTTCAACCGCCCCCTCCGCACACACACACACACACTTCACATGCGCCTACACTGGCTGACTAAGGCCCCTTTATAGACTCATCCAGCCTTTATACATCCCATTCTTTATCTCTGTGCACGCACGTATTCGCCTTCGTTTCCACGTGTGCTGAACACGCCAAGCCACGCACCTTGTGTGAGAGAAACGCGCTTTCTAATCAAGAAAGCAGC